GGCGCCGGCCCCAGGACTGCAGAGAGGCAGGAGTTTGGCCCATTGGGAAGGCTGGTGAAAAAGTGGGCCTGGCCCCCTGCAAAGCAGCTGGTGAAAAGGGCTTGCCCCCCCCAAGCACAGCCCTTCAGTGGGTCTCCCACCTGGGGGAGCAGCCTGTGGGGCAGGGGAGCAGTGTGACCCCTCTGGGGCAGGGACTGGGCTGGGCCAGTGACTCTCTGCTCTGTCTTCCTCTCTAGGGCGTGAGAAGCGCTGAGAGCAGGTACGTCCAGGCTCAATCTGCCCTCCACCCCCGTCATGCTGGGAGCAGGCTCAGAGCACGGTCTGTGAATCCAGCCACAGCCCCCCACCATGGGCCTGTCTCACCCTCTGAACCCTGCCCCCTCTGTACCCACCGCCCGGGGTGCCACTGCCATTGTGGGGGTGTGAGGCACCCTGGGAGGGGACTGCCCCACAGCTCTGGGCTGGGGAACCCTCCCTGGGGGCTGGGCTGACTCAGGGGAATATTAATAGGACAGAGGCCGGTCACCCCAAGGGCCCAGCTGGGACCTGCCCCCAGCTTTGGCATAGCTCATGGGGGGAGCTGTGGGGAAAGAGCTGAATGTCCCAGGCCAGGCCTTGCGGAGAGTGTCCCCATCCCAGAGCCCCCAGGGGCTGAGCGGAGAAGCTGAGGAGCAGCTGGGTCTGGAGAACGGGCCCCTCTCTCAGCCTGGGAGCGGCCCAGCCAGGCATCTTTGGGGCACATGGGCTGGGCCAGGTGTGCGGGAGCTGGGCCTGGTGCTGCATGGGCTATTTTCCCTCTGGCTGGAGAGAGGCCCCAGGCCAGGCACGGCAGGAACCCGGAGCTGGAGCGGAGAATCCGGGACTTCCCAGGAGAGAACAGTCTCCAGGGGGCCGTGACGGGATTCCTGGGTACGGGGCGGTGCTGTTGAGGGTTCCTCTCTCACTGTATGGGGGTGTAGAAAGGCCCAGCTGGGACCGACCAATACCACCCTCGTGTCTCTGCAGGGGCAAGGAGGCGACATCGCTGCATCTGGCGCTCAAGTGCCCGGAGCTGGAGCAGAGAATCTGGGACTTCCCAGGAGAGAACAGTCTCCAGAGGGCTGTGATGGGATTCCTGGGTACGGGGCGGTGCTGTTGGGGGTTCCTCTTTCACTGTATGGGTGTGTAGAAAGGCCCAGCTGGGACCCCAGGGACTGCTCCTGAGGGGCTGACGGGTTCCTGAGTCCAGAGGCTGCTCTGAGCAGAATGGCAGGATCCCAGCAGGACGTGGATGGTGGAGAACAGGCGCAGGAAGTGAAGGTGCCTCCCCCGCTGCCCCGGACCCTGTGGCCACCCCCTCCTGCTGCCAAGCAGAGGGTCCCCCAGCCCAGCCTGCACGGGCCGAGGGGCAAGGGGAGCTTTCCAGGGAACCCTGAGAGCTGGTTGCCGTGAGAGACTTTGTCACAGACTCAGGGCCCGAGTCCCAGCTCCCTGGATGTTCGTGGAGCCTCCCTGAACCCCTTGGGCCAGACGCTCAGAGCTAGGCAGGTGCCTGGCGGGAGTTTCAGAAGCCCCAGAACAGCTTGGGCCCCTAACTCCCACTGGTGCCCATAGGAGTTGGGTACCTCCCCTGTGTGGGTGCACGTGAAATCCCAGGGGCCTCTTTGCATGGCTGGGAGGGGGGAAATGCCTGAGAGAAGCTGGCTCCCGGGCCTTACTCCCCAGGGCCCTCTGGCAGCGTGGGGCAGAGCTGGGCTGTGATCCCTAGGCACTGCCCCCGCCAGTGACGGGTTTTTCTCTTCCCTTTCAGGGGCACTGGCTGAGGATACACGGGTTTTTCTCTTCCCTTTCAGGGGCGCTGACTGCGGAGAGAGGTGAGGATCCTGGGGCGCTGCCCTAGGTCCGGGCACCACAGCAGGTGGGAGCCTGTTCCTCCGCCCAGAGCGGCCCCTGGGCTGAGCAGGTGCGAGGGGATCAGCGCAGGGGGGAGCCCAGCTGGGGAGCGTGGGACAGAGCAGCCAAGAGGAGTCGGAGGCGGTGGGACCCTGCTCTGTGGGGAACTGGGATAGAGGGAGGGGCTATGACGTTCCTGCTCTGAGGGCTCTGCGGTGGGAATTCTCACCTCTCTCTCTGCTTGTTCCAGGACTCAGGCGAGCCCGAGTATTTGCAGGTAACTGGCCTCACTCTGGTGTCAGTGACTTCAGCTCCTGCCCTGGGGTGAGACTGACTCCCTGCACTCCGCCCCTCCCCCAGTGCTCTGCCAGTGCCCCAGGCCTGGGAGATGGCCCGGCCCCTGGGGGAGGGGGAGCAATAACACCAGACCCTTGGGCCCACCCTGTTCAGGGACCCCACAGACAGGGGGTGGGAGTGGCATCATGATCCCAGCCTTGCCCTGGGGATGTGAGTCCCCGTCCTCCCTGAACCTGTCCCCTCTGTCCTTTGGAACGTCCTGTGTTCTATCACCTCTGCCCTTTGGTTCCCACTCTTGTCCTCACTACCCCTCTGCCCTCCTGGTTCCTGCTCCTCTCTTTAGCCCCCTCTCCTTCCTGGTGCCTGCTTGTCCATTTGTCCCCTAATGTCTTCTTCCTCTTTCCTTCTGCTCCCTCTAGTGCTCTCCCTTCTTCCATGTTCCTGGCACCTGCCCATTCTCTACTCTTTGTCCTGCCCCCTCTTCCCCTTCCTGTCTCCACTCCCCTTCCATTGTTCCTCTGGGTCTCCTCCTCACCTGCCCCCCATCTACCCCTGCCTCTCTTTATGTTGTATCAACTCCTGACACAATTAATGGGGAGGCAGGTTAATTTCCCTTTGGTCTGAGGGACCAGCTCCTGCCCTCAGCCCTGACTCTGTGACTCTTTCCTTAGTGGATGTGACTCTGGATCCAGACACGGCCCATCCCAAACTCATCCTGTCTGAGGATCAGAAACGTGTGAGATGTGGAGACACGCGCCACGTTGTGCCTGACACTCCTGGGAGATTTGATCCTTGTGCTTGTGTCCTGGGTGCCGAGGGGTACGCGGGCGGGAGGCATTACTGGGAGGTGGAGGTGGGAGACAAACCTAGATGGACTCTGGGGGTTTGCAGGGAATCTGTGAACAGGAAGGAGTCGGTCACACTATCACCTGAAGATGGACACTGGGCTGTGTGGCTGAGGAACGGGGAATATGAGGCCCTCACCTGCCCATTCACCCCCCTCCCCGTGAGCGCTAGGCCCAGCCAGGTGGGGATTTTCCTGGACTACGAGGCGGGCGAGGTCTTGTTTTACAATGCGACTGACAAGTCCTATCTCTTCACCTTCACCGACAGCTTCTCCGGGACGCTCCGCCCTTATTTCTATCCTGGTCATAATGCTCAGGGTAGAAACGCAGCTCCCCTGACAATCTGCCCAGTCCTAGGTGAGGCTGAAGGGATTCTCTGTCCCTGACAGTGACTCCCATGGCAGAGCCTTTCTGCTGACCAGATCTCAGACCTGTTCTCATAGGGATGATCTGAAAGGCATCTGCAATGGATTGTCACTCCTACGGTGTAGTCTGTGAGCTGGGGGAACTGCTACAACCCCTCTAATGCCCAGCTGGCTGGCCCTGCTTGCAGTGCTTCTTTGGAGATGGTCAGCTTCACCTGGCCATTATAACCCACAAGCTTCAGAGGGGGAGCCGAGTTAGTCTGTACTAGGAAAAACTTAAAAAACAACAAATAGTCTTGCAGCCCCTTAGAGACTAACCAAACATGTAGATGGGATCATGTGCTTTCATGAGAAGTGGGCTGTGCCTACAAAAGCTCATGATCCCATCTGCATGTTTGGTTAGTCTCTGAGGTGCTACGAGACTATTAGTTGTTTCCTGAGTTACCTAAGTGCTTTACTTAAGGCGCTTTGGCCAAGCCCTATGATACAACTGGATTTGCTCTGACCCCACAGACAGAGACAGACAGGTAATGCCAGTGTTTGGCTTCCTTGGCTGTATCTACACTGCACACTGTTGTGCGATAAGATATGCAAATGAGGTGTGGGAATGAATATTGCCACACCTCATTTGCATACCCAATGAGCCATCATTTTTGCAGCACAGGCTTTTGTGCAAGAAGGAGCTGTTTGCACTACTCCTTCTTGCACAAAAAACCCTCTTGTGCAGACCCATTCCACCACTTATTTTCAGGAACCTGCATGCCACTTGGCAGGACAATCCAGTTCTGACCATTCTCTGAGTGGCCAGTGCCTGAGGGGATCCAACATGGATCCCTAGGTCACAGGTCACAGGCACCATTTAGTGGCCCCAGTTACTGACCCTAAACACCATCATAACACAACGGCTACGTCTACACTGCAGCCTTCTTGTGTAAGAACTGCTTTGCACAAGCATTCTTGTGCAAGAGGTCTTTCACAAGAGCACTGCCATGTGCTTTTTGTGCAAGAGATGTGCTTTTGTGCAAGAGCATCCATGGCAGTGTGGACAATCTCTTGTGCAAGAAAACTCTGATGGGCATTTTAGCTATACGGGTTTCTTCCACAAGAAATTCATGTTGCCTGTCTACACTGCCCTCTGGTGGAAGAGCTCTTGTGCAAGAGGGTTTATTGTTTGTTGGGAAAGGAATAACTTCTGGAAGAATCCCTGTTTTCCAACGTTGTATTGTAAATTTACTTGTGCAAGAACCCTCGTGCAGTGCTCTGCACATTTTTGTGCAAGAACAGTTGTTCTTGTGCAAAAAGCCTGCAGTGTAGCTGTAGCCTAAGGGTTTGGATTCAGTTAAAGAGTTCACATACAATGGAAATCCTGGAAAGGTGAATGTCCTCATTAAGTAGGCACTCTCGCAGGGGGCATTTGATCTGCAGTCAAACACTTCACTACTGAGCTACACCCCCATGTGAGAGTGGTGTCTGCAGCCAGTATTGAGAAGTGTGTAGAAAACAAGAGGCTTTTGTAGAACATACGTCTCGGGTGGGATGGACCCTCACTGACTCCAGATTGTGACTGGTCCTAACAAGGAGTTTGTTATGAAAGCAGCAGAGCTGGGGCAGGACAGAGGTTCTGTCCACACAGAAAAGTTATTTTGGAACAATGGCCGTTATTCCAAAATAACAATGTGAGCGTCTACACAGCAATTCCATTATTTTGAAATAACTCTGAAATAACGGACAGCATATTCTGACTGCTGTAAACCTCATTGTACGAAGAATAAGGCCTATTCTAAAATAGCTATTTCAAAATGAGGCCTGTGTAGATGCTCCACTTCTGCTATTTCGAAATAGCCCTTCCCCAGGGCCATTCTAAGTTATTCCACCTAGGGCTCTAAATCAGGGAAGCATGTCTACATTAGGGAAGCCTCCTCAGACTCATTTTGAGGGTTCCCTGCAGTGTTCACGTGCTATTTTGAAATAAGCTGTTCCAGAATAGCTTATTCCAAAATAAATGAGCCATGTAGACGTAGCCAGAGAGTCCTGAGAGATGAAGAAGCTTGGGGGAAGCCAGAAGTGCAGAGGTCAGTCTGAGACCTGAGTATCCCAGATGTTTATTACAGCCTAGGTCCCATGGTGTAAGGGGCCACACTTGGGTCTCTGAACATTGCAAGCTGAGTTCAAATCTCAGTGGGACCTGCAGCACTTGGGGTGGTTGTTGAGAGGTCATTGTGTTCCATGTTCTTTGGCTTCCTTGTCTTGAGGTTCACTAAGGGCAGTTTTGCTTGTCTAAGGCCCAATAGAGCTTTGTCAGCAGACTTAGCAGACTTATGCTCAGGTGCCTGATGCCATCACAGCTGCAGGGCAGGTGGCCTGACTCCTGAGCTCAGCCCATGCTGGAGGCAGCCAGAGAGTGTGAGCAGAACAGAGGAGGGGAGGGAAGATTTGTATATTTTGGGAAGGGTCCTGGGTCCTGGCTCCCAGCCACACGCCTTGGAGCAAAGACCAATGGCCCCTGCACAAAGTATATTGTGGGAATAAGAGTTGGGGCAGCAGGAAAGGGGCCGGCCCCTGAGCACCAGCGAGCAGATGGGAGAAGATGGGAGTGAATCCTGCTACCTCTCATGCGCAAAGGGAGCACTAACCCACTTGCAACTCATCTCTCGTGCGCTGGCTTCCACCAGACCCAGCAGCCTTGTGCCCCACTAGGGTGGGGTTTTTTCAAAGACCAGTGAGGAAGAGGGAGGGGTCTCTGGATGCACGGAGCCCCCTGGCTCTGCCTGTGAAAAGAAGGAACGAGGGCACAGCAAAAACTTCAGTTCCACTTTGTGCTTCTTGACTTTTTCAATCTAAGGACTTTGAAGAAACATTTTAAGTATCTTTTCCAGTGGTGCAATGGGTCAGCGCACAGTACTTATAAGGCAGTACTTGTAGGAGACATGCTGAGGTTGTGAGTTCAAACCTCACCTGGAGCACTCACATTTAGTCTCTGCTGGGTTGTCCCCTTGCAATGGTTCCCAAACCTTTCAGCATCATGCCCTCATGCCCCCCCCCCTCCAAAATAACAGCAAAACTTGAGCAAAAAAGAAAAAAGCTTGATGGGGGGAGGGCTGGGTCACCTCTTCCCCCTCCCCCTCTGGAATTTCTTCATGCCCTCCCTCTCGGGCTGGCCCCAGAGCTCAGGGCCTGGGAGTCTGGTCAGCAAGTGAGACTCACCCGTCAGTCCAAGCTGCTTTCTCCCTGGCTGCCGTTCCTGCCTGTCCCGTGCCAGCACTTCACGCAGGCCAGTGGGGCAGGACGGGGGCGTGTCAGTGGGGCCCTGCTCTCAGTCCATCCCTTACAGGCCCTGTGGGCTGCTTGAGAGGCTGAGCCCGCCTGCCCAGGCCTGGTGCAGGGATGGAACATGGGGCACATTCCCCCTGTGAGCTTATGCGGGGTCAGGAAAGAACGACACAGGCCCAGCTGAAGGTTTCGTGCTGGGGCTGGAGGCTTAAGCCCGAGCTGTCGGCCTTAGTGGGACTTGCTTCTTCCCCCCTCTCCTGCCTTGCTGCCTCCTTTGGCCAGCAGCGCTCAGGGGGCAGCCGGGAGAGCCGGCACCAAGGGCAGAGGAGGCCAAGGCACAAGCCTCTCAGAGCTTGCCTAGGCTCACTCCAAGGGGCTTTCTGTGGTGCCAGGTGGGGTAGGGATGCCAGGCTCAGGCCGGTGCGAGAAGGCTCAGCTCCTGCCAGGGCAGCAAGGGGAGCTGCAGGGAGCGAGATGCAGCGTTTCTGCCTGGATCACTCAAGGGTCCTTCTGTGCGTGAAGCGCCGGTGAGACTGTGCTGCTGGGTTCCTCTGCCCCTCCCCTGGAAGGCCGTCCCCTTCGGATGATGCCGCTCACACACATACCTTGTCTTAGGGCCCAAGGTGGTCATGTTCTAAATTCTTTATTGTCAGCACTTCAATCTTCCTGGACACACAATTGCAGATCTAAAGGTAGCCATCCTGTAGTAAAAGAGGAACTAGCTGTTCAAACCCATTTCTCAAGTACTACATGAGTCAGGGAATTTGCTAATTGCCTAAGTAAGCTATACTGGTGGTTGTTACTGAGTGGAATAAAGTTGAAGTATGCTAACCAATAATGCTGCAACACGAAGCTAAGCTAACAAATCAAGACATGCCAAGTTAGATAAGAAAGTTAAAGAAAGTATAAAAAGGATGTTTAGCCAACGCCCGGGGTCGGCTTTGCTTTGAGCACTGAGCTCCTTAGCCGAACCTTGCTTGCAAGCAATAAAATTGAGTTGGACCCAGCCTGAAAGTGTGACTCTCTTCTGTGGGCAAATTAGACTAGCCTCCAGGTGACGAACCTTGCAAATTTATGCAACAGGGGCTCTTGCTGAAAGGAGAGATTCTTCTCCCTCCCCCTGGCTGCAGGCCCGGCCTTAGGACCAGGCGGCTGCCTTGGGTCTGTCCCTGTGGGGCCTGGTGCTATAATTGACAAAAAGCCTTTGGGTACCAGCTGCCAATCAAATGTCTTGGGCTGCGCAGACCTTGAGTCATGGCAAGAGCTGGAGGGGAACGGCTGCCAGGGCTGGCCCTAGCCATTTTGGTGCCCCGGGCCTGGGTGCGTGGCGCCGCCCCCGGGCTCACGGTGCATGTGCGGACCCGCCTCCACAGGGTGCGCAGGCCTTCCCCCAGGGCGCAGGGCACATGCACTGCCCAGCCCGGCCCGGCCATTGCTGTTGGTGTGCGCACCAGGCCATGCAGGGCCCCGTGGCCATGGGGGGAAGGGTGCTGCTGGTTGGTGCCGCGGGGATGGGAGAGAGGGCTGGCACTGCGGGAATTGCGGAACCCATATGTTTTGGCTATATCAGAGATACTTTATAAATACATTTATTTCTTTTAATTTATTTGGATTCATTTGTTCATTCAATAGGGATTATACATTTGGAAAAAAATACATGAAGCAAAGTGTCTTAAAAGAAAAAGTGAGTTTTCTAACAAATTTCATAGCACTTTAGAAAGACTTTTTTGTGGAGGGCACCATGGCTTAATTGGCTAAGGTGCCTGTCTTTTAAGTAGAAGATCCTGGGTTCAATTCCCAGTGGTACCTTGTTGCCAAGCCAATGTGTCTCTTCTTTCCACCATCCCCCCACCTGTATCTGGAGTTGGTTTTAAGGTCATTTGAGCTTGGTGGTGCCCTCACAGTGGAAGTAGGCTGGTAGCAAACAGCAAGAACCCTCTGGCTTTGATTTAGCTGCTCTTCAGTCTGGCAGCAGAAGAAAGCTTTAGTTTAGACCAGTGGTCCCCAACCATTTGGGG